AGGAAAGTATCAAGTGCTAATGGGGGTGTTTTCAGAGCTCCCTGTTTTCAATATTTTAGATTAGCCCAATCCAATATCATTAGTTGAGATATTGACATATTTTTAGAAATCCTGAGTTATGGTATTGCACAGCACTATAAATAAGAAGATAATATTTATCAAAATCACTGTGCAGTCATTTCATTCATTCATGCTCTGTACAGGTGTTAATAAACATTACATTTAACAAACAACATTACCATTTCTTATCAACATCTATAATTCCTCATATACTCAGTGATGAGGAAGAATGTGGACATGTTGATATGTGGAACAGAGAGAGAGGGAAAGGGAGAGAGGGAGGGAGGGCGAGAGAGAGTAAAATAGAGAGAAAGAACAGCTTATATCTGGCTCTCTTCAATACTAAATGACAGACCTTGTCGGTTGTAATAACTACCGCTTAAGTGGAAACGTTACTGGCTTCTGACTAAAGAGGAAGTGTATTTAAACACTCATCTCTTGCATGTATCAAAAGATATCCCTCTCATGTCTTTTTCTTTGTAAAAGCTCATATTCTCAGAGAAATTATACTACGATACACCGTCACCAGATCAAAATATGGCAGAAACACAGGAACAGGCCACCGAGAGGGCAAAGACGGGGTGGTTTCTTTGGCAGCGGCAGACCCAAACATCAATTATGCTCTAAACCTCTCTCCCACTGCCAAGTATAATCATCTTCAGCAGGGCTCAATTATGGGTTATTTCTAGCCAGACTCAGTCCTTACTGTGTCCTACATCACAACAAGTCTTTCAGTGCAATCGCTGAAAAGGTTTAAAGATTTACGTCAAATTAACTTTTGATATTCTATAAATTCAACTTAAAATTCAAACCTATATTAACAGTAGTAGTAATACACATGACTCTGTTTCTTCTTTGCATTTTAATATTATCTCCCCTTCTGAATAGCACTACTGCCACCCACTGGGTCTATTTCCCAGTAGCAAATATCCAACCCAATGTTGCCGTAATCATCTTAAAAAAAATAGGAAACATTTTGGAAAATACACACAGTGGGCAGTACCTGCTTAAGATGAATCACATTGAAATGAGCGAAAGAGAGAAAAGATCTACTTTCATGTACTATGGTCTATAATTGAAGAAAGTCCATCTAATTCCATTGCTACAAACATATTTATAGAACACAAAGCACAGTGAAAAAGGGTTTCCAACTAAAACAGAAGCCTTGCTTTTGAAAACAATCATTACTCCTCTGCAGATACAGTTGGAGCTACATAACTAGTGCACAGCACCACAGAGATTGCTGCTATCATGTAGAAGAGCAGGGTGAGTGGATAGCAAGGTTTTGAGACACATTTTTGTGTAACTTCTGCTGTTAGTTTAGCAGCTCTGTTAATAATTGAGCCATGTGTCAATTCAGGCTTGACTGGGTCTGTTTTCAACGGAACAAGGACAAAATATCATGTCATTTACTAAATGAATGACAGGGAGTAGAATATGAGAGGACGAGGTTTTACTAGTTTTTTTTTTGGGGGGGGACTACTGTGATGAACAGACCACTGCTACTTTAGGTGTGTCAACATGGGAAGGTATTTGTGTTGTTACAGATATAGGGTAACAGTCATGTCAGACAACAAATATTGTTCTGTGCAAAAGACAACATGACAATTAGGACACCAACACATGGGCTAGATACAGATATTCTTGAGTAACAGTAGTCCACTAGAACAATGGAGATCTTAATAAGGGGTTTCAACCCAAAATATCTTCATAGAAGTTTATTCTAATCTCTCTTCTACATTTTAACATACACTAGTGTGTGACATTCCAGTCACAGATTAATGTGCACATACACACTTTTAGTTAATAATAATCTCTGTTGTGACTTTTTTCCCTTAACATTTTTGCCCGGTTTAATTTGAATGTGCAACAAAAGTTGCAATAAAAAGAAATCAGGACTTTTTTTTTGCCAATATCGCCAAACTCTAATTGATATGCATAAATATCTAGTGAAAGATTAATAATCAAAGGTGTTCCTGGGGAGTAAGGCCGATGTCATCTACAACATCCCTCAAAAAATAACATATTTCTTTGGAGTTTGGATGGATGGTGTTTCCTGTCATCAAGCGTCATCTCAACAGTATTTTTATTAGGGAAATTTGGCAGCTTTATATTGAGTGTGTTTTCTAATACCCTTCAAATGGGGTTAGGAGTCAAGATGATGCTGAAAAATGTTTTACATAATGTTATTTTTTTAGTCACCACAGAAATGCTGTGATTAAAGTTAATCCTTGCAGCGGCAGCTTTTGCTATGCACTCATCAATACCATTTACATTTTATCAGATTAAATCCAACACAGTAATTCTTTGAAATTTCACCCTAGATAATCTCAGATTAATGGTTATGTGCAATCTAGATGATTTATTTTATACAGTGTACTGAGCATATGCCAGATACTACCCTACACATACAGCAATGTCAACACTGGCTTACATGAATATTCCAGTTGCCAGATCTTAGCAAGACTAAGCAAATTGTTGATTTTAAAATTTCTCAGCAATGTAAGAGTAAGTTGTATGTTTGCATACTTTTTGATGCCCTAAAGACACAGTACAAAATACAATGAGTACAGTAAATACAAATGTCTTCTTTGGTAAACCCAGATTCCCTAAATGTGAATGCTCTCTGGCTGGAATCCTCATGTTAGTTTACTCCGTGGGCTTTCTTAGGAATTTAAGTTATTGGAAATTATACGTTTTTTTAAATAATAAATGTAAATACATTTAAGTAAACCCAACCTGATATTGGCAGTCACTGCTGGTTTGACAACTTAACATAAGGTAGCCAGTAAGGTGAGAGTCGATGTTTAAAAACTTTTGTAGACTAGAACATTGTTACTAAAAATGTGAATAATGATAGTTGATTCATCTAGGCTTAGAGATGAAAATGAACTTTTTTCTCCTGCATCTTCATCCATAAATTGGCCATACAAAAAAACTGAGCAGATTCCTCTGAGTCTGTACTCAAGTGTTCGGCAGCAAACAGCAAATGAACAAATGCTTCATTGTGTCTGTTAAGTCAGAATGAAGTCCTCTGAGGGACGTTCGTTGCAGCTGACAGTTCTCTGTGTCACGTCAATGCATTCAACAGAACTGAGCTAAGTTGAGCTGAAGCAACCAAGCGTGGGCATGTTGTGACATAAACTCATCAAACAACCAAAATTTTAAGTGTTACTTCTTGTCTCCTCTTCGACATGGGCAAATGTCGCAGCTTCTCTTCCACGTAAATCCAATCCACTGAGTGAACAAAACTAACATAAGGTCACTTTGGTAAACATGCTGTTGACATTTAATATTTAACTTGAGCAGCATCAGCACTACGGAAAAAGCTATCACAACGAGTCAGAGCTACGTAAAACTACCTGGCGAAAAGAAGGAAGAGTAACACTGGACGTAGCGTTTTTCTTTCTTATTAGCCATTAGCCTGCTGTTGACACAAGCTGCTAAGGCTGAGCAACATGCTAACGAGAAGCAGCAACAGCACAAACTTGATTTAGTTCACCAGCCAACTAGGGCTTCAAGTTAAATCACGTCAGTGATGTCGCTGGGAAGTTGCCCACCTAACTACGAGACGCAGACAATCACTTACTTTGCTTCGGAAATAAGTAAAAGATGCAGCTAGGCGATTAATTCCCAGCAGCAGCAGTAAATAAGCCAAACTCCCCTGTGTAGCTACAGCACCCAGCTTGGGTGCCTCAGTTTTAAAAAGCTATCGTTAACCTCATCGACAAAGTTATTCAAGGAACTTGTCGTGAGAACCAATGGTTGACTACGATAGTTAACAACCACTGTGTTCTTAATAACAAAAATATTCGTAGCACTGATGTTACTTACAACTTTTGTGTCCTCTCCTTTGACTTGGGCTATGTTGCTAGCTTGCAGGCGTTTTTTTCATTGCCGAACAAGATTCAGCGTCCCGGCCCTCCTCCATTGGAAGGATTTGCGTAGTGGTGTGATTTTTTTTTTTCCTCTCTGTTTCAGCGCTGGCGGAGATTCACTGTCAGAGCTGAAAGGCATCCTCTATTTCCGCCCTCTTCTCTCTGGTTGGTTGTGCTGGTATGACGCCTGGTGAAATATGCCCGTCTATTGGGTTAAGCAGGTGACATTCCGTGCAAAAAGACCTGTTGAGTGGATGACGTTCCTTTCGTGGGGGTTCACTTTACATTACCAGCGTACACCGAAACGTGCAGGGTTAGGCGGGTATTACAGGAGCGGATTAGCATCGGATCAAAGTAAAAAGGACAAAAGTCTTCCACAGGGGTCACATTGTAGGATTTTCAAATTTAATATAAAAATGAAATTAAATCATTTTGTCCTGTTTATTTTTCCTCTTCAGTCTTTCTTTCCATTATATTGCTTACAGTAAATATATTATATAAGTTTGTCTAATACAGAATAATAACAGTGTTATTTAGTGTACTATCACCGCACACTATAACCAATTCTTCGACATCTAGAGATCTAATACGTGTGTTGTCTGGAGTATGTGTAAGTGTTTTGTGTAATTAGGTGAAACTGCACCTGTGCAATGCTGACAGCTATAATTTAAGATTTTTATGTTAATTTTAGTAAAGTTTATCTCAATTTCTGGGTAATTCTTTTTTTAATTCTTTGCACGGACAATAAACAAGTTAATGTCATTCATTTTCATGGATTAGTTAAATAGGTTAAGACTGAGGATCAAGCAAAGTAGCTAAACTCACTTTTTGGCAACAACTGCATCACAACAAAACAAATAGGTCAATGGACCCATATCAGAAAAAGCTTCATCTAATCATTTTTAAATATTTAAAATAAATTGTAAACACATCACATTCAGAACAAACTTAGAAATTAGTTAACACACAGTAAAATGTTCCCAAGTGGTATTTGACTTTATGAGAAAATAAATACACAGACATACACAGCCTTTATAGCTGCAAAGAACTGTCTGCACAAACAATATTTAAGTTTTTATTTATATTTATTTATTCACTTCAATTGTTTATTTTGTTCATACACAAATCCAACTCAAGCACCAGCGATGATATTTGTCTTAACATAGCGTGTATTGGAATTCCACTGGTGAAAACACATTATTAATCATCACAATAACACAAAGCTGCCATTTTGTCTATGTTAAGAATTTTAGTTATCTGACATTAAGCTTAATTTCAATGAAGTCAGAACGATGCTGATTTTATTTTTGCTCGATTTAATGTAGCACAGCGCCCCCATGTGGCTTTTAGTGCATATCTTGAGACGAATCATAAAGCTACACCGGAACACAAAAAAGCCTTGAAAGGTTCCGTGTCATACAGATGTCGTCCTGCGATTCTAAAAAGTAAGAAAAAGTACATCCATTTATTCAGTTTACTTCACTGTCCGTATACAGTGTTCTGTTAGCAATTACCTTTAGCTCTTCACCTCTTCTGTAGGTGCATCTTTTTTCTTGCATTCTTCACACACGTGATGACAGTGTCTGTTGGGATTCAACGAATCAGTGACACATTTGGTAAGGTGTAGGGTCATGGATTTAAATAACGTAAAGCTGTCGAAAACATAAAAACATTTGTTTTTAATCTTCAAATAAGATACTTAGTAGCTGTATCTTTGATATTGTACGCGTTGGAGCTTTAGAACTTTAGAACTTACCTAACAGTACACAAAGTATCTTTAAGTTAAGCGAAGGATATGATCTTAGAGGACTTTCTGTCTCTAAAACATGTCAAATTAAAATGACCACGTTTTAGAGTGAAGTTATGGAATACACATTCATTGTTTCTATAGTTGTGCAATAATATTAAAAGTTTCAAAAAAGCTTCGATTGAAAATAATAATAGACTAACTGATAGTTAATTATCTGTTTTTGTTTTTCATTTTAGTTTTTATCTTCTAATGTTTTCAGGTTCAACTAATAGTCATTATTTAAAGGTTTCGGTGTACTCTAGAGCGATTCTTTTGTACTGTATTATTTTTTCAGAGATGACCTTTTCGAGTTTGAACTATTTGTTGGAGGATGGTACTAAGTGTTAGTATAAGTATTGGTTATTTTTGTTTAGCTTTTTAAATAACAGCAGAATAAAAGAACAGTACATGAGCGAAGATTTTACCACACTGCACAGATACTTCCAAATCCCCAGACTCACCTGTGTCCAGGAGGACCAAATTTATGATCTCCCGTAGACCAAGGCCCAAATGGGGGTCCTTCAATACCAAGGTCATGAAGCTTGCGTCGACAAGTTCCAAAATAGGAGGCTTTACCTACTGCAAAACCAAGGATCCCAGCAACTGAAGGAAACAATAAATAAAAAACATAATAAATAACAGTTTTCGATCAACAGTTGTTTAAAGTATTATTGAAGGATCACTGAAGTACTTTACGATACATACCTGCTAGCTTGGGGAAAGGGCCAAATCGTTTCGATGCCTTCCATACACCTGGATTATTAATACAATAGAATCTTTATTTAAACACAGTGTTACAAAGGTTGAATATGTGATTTGTCAATATGATGTGATTAAAAAAAGGGGGCGTGACTACCATTGTAGATCAATCCACCGGTGACAGCCATGCTGCCCACAGAGAGAGGGAGGGCTAAATAATGAAATAACACAAAGTCCAAAAAGTCAGCAGTCTGATAAGCCATGTTTAAAACAGGTTTGATGTATTTAATGTTCTACAACAGTTCTTTGCTTAAGATTTTTTTTAATGTGCCATCAGGAAAATGTTATCAAAAGATAAGCTGGAGAGCTACAACAAAATGTTAAGGATTAGGAATAAATAAATTGAGAACAATTGAGACAACATGTAATATCTAATATGCACCTCTTCTTACTCTATAACCTACTATTCTTATGACTTATTTATGACATATTTTTATGACATACTAGTCTTCTTACTCTATGAACTACTATGACTAAGACTGTACTTTTTCTATTTATTATTTATTATTATTGATTACTATTTATTATTATTCATCTATTTTTGTTTTTTGTATGTTTACTGTAGCTTGATTGTTGATCGAGTGACACAAATTGTAAGTCGCTTTTTGTAGTTTTAGAAATAAATTATGGCACCACCATCAGGCTGAAAAGAAACGCAGGTATTCAAATAACACACTCTCTTTCCTGTTCTAGCTTTGAAAAAATATGCATCAAGCCAGATTGAACCACTGGTGTCAAGGTAGGACTTAACAGTTCATTGGCTCTGTGAAAACTGAGAACTAGATTCGAACATTGCAACTAGGAAGTGCTGATTGTTGAAGTGCACAGTGACAAAGGAGGAGTGACAGCTGTGTGGCTGGAGCGAGAGAATCGAGGCTAAAGACGGTCGAACATAAAAAACAAGTCGTTTCCATTTTGTTGATCTTGATCTTAGTGGATCAGTGAAGATAGCTTCTGCTGCTAGTGCCCGTCTCCTGAACTGCTCTGCCTGCAGTGTGTTTACCTTGTTTAAGTATCTGGGCTCACATTACGGCAGTATATGTCCACAACGTACGCTAACAATGTACTCGAACAGATTTAAGATTTCTGGACAATGTCCTCGCGACAGACAGTCAGAAGCCATTGACTTCAGAAGACAATGTAAACACAGTGAATGAGAATGAGGTAGCCTGAGAGAGCCATGGAGCAAATTCCAAAGGAAAAGTTAAACACAAGGTGACATGTGAATAGAGTGCTGAAAGATGGGCACTGCCCCTGCAACGTCTTCCATGTGTAACAAGAAACAGAGATAAGGATCCTTCCATGTGGGACTCTTTCATTCCTTGGCTCATTTTCACAGATTGTTGTCTAGTTGTCTTAGTCAAAGACTATTAGTATTTATATTTATCTGTTAATGTTGGAGAGTAAATACCTCTGTACCAGAAGCTTTCATCCTGGCATTCTTTCCAGACCTTTTTAACATCTTCTCTATGGATATGTTTATCACCCAAGGGACACTGTAAGACACAAAGGACAGACAGAGTTAGACACATCAAAATAAAAAAGGATGATTGAAGATCGGGTTTTATATAAAGCCTGCATTGTGTATCCTTCTGTGGAAATTATTTATATACTCTCACCTTCCTCTCTCCTTTTGGTGCCTCAGGATTCAGACCAACAGCGGCCAGGTCTGCCGTCTTCACAATAATTTGTTCTTTAGTTTCAGAACTCATGACCCAGGAGCTAAGGCCAATCTCTTACAACCTTTATCGTGCAACTACAACCGACTCTGCCAAGTACTCCCCCACCCTGAGCCTTACTAACTAGCTGTAACTGCTCCTCCCTGGGCTTTGTTTGAAACTCCACCTACTTAAAAAAACATAGCTGAGGCCCTGTCCAGAAGAGGATGTTGCAACTTTACACAAATGAGCCCCGGTAGTTAATGAATCAAAAACTTTCTAATGGTAGCGATGGACCTACAGTAGATGGATAGAATGAACTGTATTAACCCCCCGGGGGTCCCTTTGGGAAATTTTGTTTGAGTCTTTGCAACCGACACAGGTTGCCACAGGAGGCGCCATTGAGTACATGATGCAACTCACATCATTAGGGATATGTGGTTCCTCTGGGAATTGAACCCAGGAATCACTGCTCTCTGCTTGCAGGTTAGCTAACTGCTACACTATGGAAACTGTTTATAAAAATCCCCAATAGTTTGATATGTAAAATGTTTCTATTTTGACACATGTAATAAAGTATTAATATTAAAGAAATGAAAGTGAACTACTTGTCAATGTGACACAGCACACCACTGTACACAACAAAATGTGACCTCTGTATTTTACCCATCACCACAGTGCCATGGGAAAAAAACAAGCACAGGGGGAGCAGTGTGTGGGGACGGTGCCATGCACAGAATACCTCAATGGTGACTTAGCAGCTGGTGGACTCGAACCTGAAACCTTTCAGACCCAAGTCCGCTTTCTGCAGTACGAGTTTGGACTCACCTCTGTACACCTTCTTAAGACACACCTTCTTTTGTATTTAGAACAAGCTAGTATGGGCAAAGGTCGGTTCGTTACTTGCTCAAATACACAGAGTAACCACAAAAGGTTCACTTTTTTTTCGTAAATAACGAACAGGCTGATAGGTACCTTGGTGTAGAAATCGGACTTGTTATTAACTTCATCCAAGTTGTCCAAGAAACGATACTCCATAAATGGCACAAATTATTATGAAAAGAAACAGGGCTGTTGTTAAAATCATATGAATAACGTGTGTGTAAACTACTGTAATTTATTTTGCTTTGTTTTGTATGGTTATAGTATAAAATGTATAAAAACAGGTACGACACACTGAAGTTCCCTGTTTATACTTATGAGCCACAGCTTTCAAATGTGTTTAGCCTCACCCTCTGGTGGGACAGGAGATTACATGCTTAAACACACTTACGTGCATGAAAATACTTTATGGGAATCTGACCAATAAGATACCATCGTGGGCTGGCTTTACCTTTGCACGAGGAAATTCTGCTGATTGACGTTTTCATAAAATAATCTCTGAACCAATCAAATGTAGCGCTAGAACGACCTTGTTTTGGGTCTCTGACCAATCGCTGTTAAGAGTAGGAGGGATCTATATGTAAACCCACCTTTTTGTGACATGGCGTTTCAGAGAGCCAATCATCGTTGAACATGGGCGGTTACCAAACGAGCTTCTTTTCAATCAAGATCAGTGGGCGCGGTTTACGTTGACAAGGCCCGCCCATTGGCCGGTCTGCAGACTTCCCACGGACAGTTGTATGTTTCATAAAAATGCACTCTGATGCGGCAAGTAAGTAGTGGCAATGTTGCGGCTTTATTCACCTAACGCCGCCCGATTTAGCATGTGCGCAAACCCTTGAAAATATGCAATAATTTGTTAAAGTCTTCTGATTGCGGTTTTTGTAGACGTTAGTGGAAAGGCATAAATTGGGTCCTCTCTGCTTTTCTTTGTAATGCTGTCCTGGCTGAGCGACAACAAAGGGAGAATAGCTGGTGTTAATTCAACTGTTTTGTACGTGCAGGACTTCGCTATTGCTGTCAGTTGCTTTGCTGAAGTGAATTATTCTGCGTAGTGTTAGCCGTGCGGAGCTATATGCCACCGACCCGAATAAATCCGAGGAGTATTTCGATGGTAATCGCAGCGTTGCAATCCTCATATCCCTAATCACTGTATGTTTACTACAGACTTCGTGTCAAACCCTGCTTCCACGCAGTTTCACTGCAGACCCATTGAATTGTGTGGTCAACTGCGGACAATTTAAGAGAGAATGAAAATTGTGACGCAGTTGTTGAAAACATGTTTGATTGCAATTGCCGCAGCGCTAAGTAGCTTTGCGGCATCCACACAAGCTGCTGTGAAACGTCAGCACTGTGCCGCGGTGACAGTAGGCATTTACATTTTTACATTTATTTCAAAAAACAACGCAAGATGCATTCATTCAGTTAGGTTTAACGTTGGGGGTAGATGCAACCTGAAAGATATAGTTGTTTTGTCGAGTCGTGGGAATTGTAGTTCAGCTTTGCCTGCACGTTTGAGTGTTCACCGGACTCTTTGACGGAAATGGACTACAAGGCCCATATCCCCAGTTCCACAGATACTTTGTAAACTGTGCAAGTTGTGCGTCTGTACTGCTATTTTAGGTATGCGGCTAGTGCTATCGGGTCGACACTGTCGGTTTGCCTGTCTTTGCATCTGGTACCCAAGAATAAATAAACCGTGTCCATACTTGATGACAGCTTACGAATTGCAATGCACAGATGACTATTGGCATTAAGGTATCTCGAGTGATCAAACTTATTTGGCTTTGCACTTTTCCCCCCTGCTAAACGGAGTTACTCCCTCAGTCGTGTGTTATTTTTCTATTCCTTCCTCAGCGATTAATCTCAAGCATGGTTTGGTGTTTACCTTTGCAATCGAACTTGTATGTTAGGTGTAACATGACATGGTTGTGTTGGGTTGGGTTGTTTTTGATGTAATTTTAAATGTACTTTGTGGAGATAGATTTTCAGCTGAATTCCCATTTGACTACACTGGCCAGCATCCATAAGATCCACCACACGCTGCACAGACTGGTGAGCACACACATTAGTACATCATACTCTGTTTTTGTCAACTTTGAGATGTTTTTTATGTGCAAACATTGGCTTTGTTAGGATCAGAAGTCTGGTTTATGATTGAACAGAGTTTTAATTTTGTTACTATTAAAGTTATACTCACTAAGACTGTGGTCAACTCAATTAATGTAACATTTGGCAGAACATGTCATATAAAGATAAACATTGTTTGAATTGGTGAAGACCAACATAAATTGTTGATAGGTACTCCAATGTTAGCTGGTCTCTATTTAAATCAGACATAGAGCTATAGTAAAGCCACATCATTTTGTTACTTCAGTAAACGACAAGACACACTAAAATATTTTGTTTGGTGTGTGTGTGCTCATTGGCTTGTACTATTTTGTGTATGTTTTGACAGAACCTGACGGAAGACGTTGGGCACGGGCAGGATAGCCACTCGTCAGGTAGGATTTGTCTACACCTACTGCAAACAAAAATGTCAGCGCATTTTAATCTGTGGCTTTTTATTGCTGTCTTTCATTGTTTCTTGGATTGACCTCCTCAGCTTGTTGCTCTAGAACCATGCCTCCCAGGAAAAAGAGGAGACCCTCTGCTGGAGACGACATGTCAGCCAAGAAAAGTCGCCAGGATAGGTGCCACATCAATTAAAAACTGCAGTGTTGACCTCAGTTGTCAAATAGCTTTTAAATTTCTTAAATACATCTCAAATACTTAGACGGTATGAACTTCTTCTCAGTGTTTTCAGAAAACATGAAACGCCACAAATTCGTGAGGAGGAGACGTTTTCCAGTAAAAGGTGCCTAGAGTGGTTCTATGAATACGCAGGTGAAGCAGCATCACTGTTCGCTTTTTCTCTCTAAGCACCGTGTTTTAGGCACACGAGTGGAATCAGAGCTAAGTGTGGCTTTACATTTATTTCTCTTTCAAAATAGGTTGTGACGATGTGGTAGGTCCAGAGGGGATGGAAAAGTTCTGTGAGGACATCGGTGTGGAGCCAGAAAATGCAAGTGTCTCTTTATCATCTGTTTCACTTTCAGCATATCTATCACCTGTACTGTTGCACCAGACATTTCACTATTTCCTTTTTATATCCCGATCTTGAGCATTTACTCATTTATACAGTACATATTTAGACTTTTTCAACTTTGCCTCTCTAACGTGGTCTCTTCTGTGCCCGATCATAATTATATCTTTGATCTGTTGATCTAAACTAACAAATGCCATATTGTCATTTAAGTATTTATAGTAAAGTGTTTCTTCCTCCCATTGTCAGTTTTTGTATTGTCAAGGGACAGATAATGAATTTGTGACATTCTTTTATTTCTGAGGAATCTGCGACACTAAAGGATTACCTTTATGTGTTCAGGTAGTGATGCTGGTTTTGGCTTGGAAGCTGGATGCTCAGAGCATGGGATATTTCACTCTACAGGAGTGGCTGAAAGGCATGGGCTCACTGCAGTATGTTGTTGTTTTTTTGTCCTTAACAGTTAATTTTTTGGCTATGTTTCATTGTTGGACTAAGAACATTCCACCCTCAGTGGTGGTCTTAATGAAACACTCTTCTTTTTTTAGGTGTGACTCCACAGAGAGGCTGAGGAATTCACTAGATTACCTGCGATCTGTCCTTAATGATAGCACCAGTTTTAAGCTCATTTATAGATATGCCTTTGATTTTGCTCGGGTAAGTCAAAGTCATGTTCATGGTGCCGTAAGACAAACACACTGCCATTAGGTAAGAATGAATTACAAACAATTTACTTGCCAAGTGTTTAAGATATACATAGTCTTGACATAATGCATTTGTATATTTGTTTAAATAGGTCATTTAGATATTGTGCACAGGAACGTCCTACTGTTGGTTTGATGATAATAGAGCTTTATCCTATGGTGCAACAGCAGATGAATTTTATTTGTACACAGCTGTTATTGTGTTACTCATGCTTAGTTTTGCATCAATCTTACTGAGTCTTGCTTATTTTGGAAGGAAAAGGATCAGAGGAGTTTGGACTTGAACACAGCCAAGTGCATGTTGGGGCTTCTTCTGGGGAAGACGTGGCCCCTGTTTCCTGTTTTTAATCAGTTTTTAGAGGTTGGTTTTACACTCAGGAATGATATCATATTTGGAATAGTGTGGATTATTTTGGTGTTCTTTGTAACATAAATGTTATAGCAACATGTCAGTTTTAAGGAAGTTTTTGTTTTCAGCAATCCAAGTACAAAGTCATCAACAAAGACCAATGGTGCAATGTTTTAG